TATGCGAAATCTTTTGAGGAAGGTGGAAGGCAGCTCTAATGTACACGAAATGAACACTATGGTAAATGGTATAGTGCAATTCCAATGCATTGCCACGGTTGATATTTGAAAATCTTTAACATTGAAACAGTATCGTAAAATATTTTGAACCGCATGTGTTGCTTTTACTTCCAACTGATGGTGCGTTTTTAATAAATATGTATAGTTTCACCTTATATTTTTAATAGTTGATATATTAAACCACGCCTGTATTCAAATGCAACTTAAACCAAATTATAAGGCAATGGGTGAAGAACGTTCCGAGATTTAAGAATTTGAAGAAACGAACATTTACATTTTTATTTGTCATAAAATGATCAACACAAAGTTGAACATTAAATACAAAAAAATAATAATAATAAAATTAATCATGAAAATATATAAGTGGCTTCATATCAAAGACGGATCTCTGTCATTTTCAGGAAGCGGAGATAAAGTCAATTTTAGTTTTATAATTTCAACTCAGACTGTTTCTGATGATTAAGAATGTTCAAGTTGAACCATGAAAAACAAATCATCAGAATTAGTTTAAATTGAAGCCATTTTACAGAAAAATTTGTTTCCCAACTTTTTAAAAATGACAGATGTACTTTGCTATTAATCCACTCATATGTGCTTTCTATTTTCTTTCTTTTTCATTTTGCCAGGCTAAGCCACAGCAGCGCGTGGCCGGGTAAAGTTAGTTTATTAATAAGTATTACGTATAAATAAGTCATAGAATATGAACTGAAACAAATGAATTGTCAACTTTAGGGAAAGTTTATACTAATTAACATTACATTAAAAAAAAAATCTGGTGCGCGCAACACACAACTTTCACTTACCGATCTACTTTGAATAGAAATTATTTTCTGGCAATGCTGGGCTATTATAAAATTTTTTTGAAGTGCATTTTAAACGGAGCTAAAGCTTAAAGCTTACAGATAACAAGTCATTAAGACCATTATAATTACAAAATGTCTATTTAATATATGGAAGACAGAGGCAATAAAGATCAATTCACCATATCTGATTTTATAAACCACAGAATGACTAACTCCAATTTCAACATTTTTGACTGATGTCATTTTAGTGATATTTTTAGTTGAAAAAGTTATCTATGCAGACAATGAGTAAGTTGATTCCAGAGGTGGTAATTGTAGTGTTGAAATATAGAACTGAGAATAAAAGTATAAATTTAGGTACTACTTTCTTATGAAAGATGTTCTTAGGAAAGATATTTTATTAAATATCTGTAGAAAAAAGGTTTTTTTAGTCTCAACAATTAAAAAAATATATTTAAAATTTATCCAAATTTTCGCCTCTTCAGGGAAAAAAACTAGAAACCATATCTTTCCTCCTAAATGTCCGATTTTAACGATTTTTTTTTGTTTTTTTAGGAAATTCCATAAACTTTTAAAAAACCATACAATATCAACAAAAAATATTTTTTGAGTTATTCGGAATTGAATTTTACCATCCCTCGTAACTTTTTTTCCAGCTTCTTTTCGCTGAAGTATGTTATATAGATAAATTTAAAGGGTATCGAGAAAATTACTTTAACGAAGTTTCATTGAAATCGATACACTCGTTTAGGCGCTACAGTCTGTAGGAACGCAGGTTTTTCTGCATTTTTTCTCCTTTATTAATTTTTCGAATTCTTTCAAAAGTTATATGTAGCATCTTTTCGTAACTCTGAATAATGCGAAATGGTTAAATTTTTAAAATAAACCATATTAAAGGTACTTTAGAGGAAGACATATATATATATTGGGCATTTAAGCCCTGTAAAATGACCTCAACGAGGATAAGACCTAAATGATATTAAAGACCACCTAATTATACAATGACACACCGAGTTTGATCAAAATCGTTATTCGTGTTTGAGAAAATTGTAAAAATGTGTTTTAGCGTTTATATAAAGTGACACTTCCGGTTAGCCGATTTTAACAAAAAAGTTGCTCTCACATCTAAGACATATACAAACCTTAAATACTTAGTATCAGTTTCGTAATACTTTTCGTTTATGAGCTAGACTGTTAACACACATACAGACCATTTTCCGACACTTGGTTATTTGGACTCAGGAGACATCAAAACATGTATTTCCGTTGAAAACTGAGATTCGAAAATTTTCACGATCACGTAAGTGAAAGTAATAAGCGTGAATACACATATGTATATACATATATATATATATATATATATATATATATATATATATATATATTCTTTTTTTTTTCGGTTGGTTCTACAGACCTTGTAGATCTTTGGCCGCCTGAACCAGCCTTCTCCACCTCTGCCTATCTTGTTCTACTGCTTTCCAGTTTACGTATCTTTGTTTATCCTATCTATTCATCTGGTTTTTGGCCTCCCACGTGGTCTCTTGCCTACTACTCTAGCATTCATTGTCTTGTAGAGGCGTCCTGATGGATTACTACGCGCTACATGCCCCGCCCATCTTAACCTCCTTGCATTCATGTCATGAGATATTGACTGACCCGTTTCTTTCAACAGTTCGTTATTGTTCCTTCTCCACCATGTGTTAAGGTTTTGGTCCCATATAGGATCTGTTATCCTACGTCGAACTTTTCTTTCGAATCTCTCAATTCTGGCTTCTAATGTTTCGATTAGGGTCCAGGTTTCACAACTGTACAGCAGAACTGGCTTAATCACGGCGTTGTACACCCTTATTTTGAGATTTCTGGAGATTTTTTTGAATTTCAGTACCTTTGAAAGAGAGAAGAAAGATCTGTTCGTACTTGTTATTCGCTGGTCTATCTCTGTTAGTTGATCATTTATTGAGGTTATTGTGCAGCCGAGGTATTTGAATCTACTTTCGGGAGTGACTACGATCCACGCAGATCATGTTATTAGGGTGGATGTTTCGGCCAACTATCGTGTATATAGTTTTATCTACATTGACCTGTAGTCCGATTTGCTCTGCTTCTTCTAATAGAGTCCGAGCGAGTCTCTCAAAATCCTCTTGATTACTTCCGAGGACAGCTATATCATCGCCATATGCCAGAATTTTATGTTACACACATATATATATATAAACATTTAACTAAATTAAAATAAAACGATGGGGTTGTCGAACATCCAACTACCGCGGTAGCATCCTATCACGTGTCTCTTCTTCCAACAGTTATTCAATCCTCTCACCCATGAATCCTACATATTGGCCTACATCTCTGAAAAAACGTCCCGATATCCTGAATATATTTATCACCTCCCAGATTTCCTCCTCCCAATCCATTATCAAATCCCTGGATGACCTTTCGTCAGATCATAGTCCAGTTTTGCTTTTACTACATTCGAACTTTGCTCCTAAACCTACACTTCCTTACTTTCATATATAATGCTGTACTCCGACCAACATATTTCCCTGATCCTTGGAAAATATCTATTGTCAAAATGATCCACAAACCCAAAAAGCCACCAGAATATCCATCCTCTTACCGTCCCATCTCTCTGTTACCCATCATGGGAAAAATCCTGGAAAAACTAATCTTAAAACGCCTGTACCCAATCCTAGATTCTAATCACATAATCCCCGATCACCAATTTGGATTCCGCTCCTCCCATTCCACTATACAGCAATGCCATCGTGTGTTAGACGTAGTATCGTCTGCATTGGAGCGCGGTATGTACTGTACGGGAGCCTTTCTCGATGTTGAACAGGCGTTTGATAGAGTTTGGCACCCGGGACAGCTGTACAAACTCCGAAAATTCCTACCATCTACCTACTTTCTCATTATCCGTTCCTACCTTACTGATAGATACTTTAAAGTAAATCACAACAATGTATATACATCCCGTTTTTCCCAGTCTGCAGGTGTTCCTCAAGGTAGTATCCTAGGTCCTATCCTTTACACAGTTTATACAGCTGACATCCCAACCCATCCCAACACTGTCATCACCACATATGCTGATGACACATGTATCCTATCAGTCAATAACGACCCATCTATTGCATCCCAAACCCTTCAATCCCACATCACAAACCTTGAAGAATGGTGTCAGAACTGGAGAATTAAAATAAATTCCAATAAATCCTATCAAATTACCTTCACCCTTCGTCGTAAACCAATGACTTCCTGTCCTTCAGTATCCTTTAACAACACCTCACTTATTCCTGTTGAACAAATCCGTTACCTAGGACTCCATCTGGACAAACGTCTAACTTGGAATCCTCATACCAGACTGAAACGACAAGAAACCGATTGACGTTTCCGATTACTTCAACACTTACTACTAGACAAACGCTCTAACCTTCCAATCAATTATAAAAGACTGATTTACATGACTATAATAAGGCCTATTTGGACTTACGGGGTTGAGCTATGGGGCTCCACCAAACCTTCAAATTCCTCTCGCATACAGTCCTTGCAATCTAAAATCCTTCGTAAAATCCTCAATGCTCCTTACTTTGTTACAAATAAAATTATCCATAATGACCTTAATGTTCCTTATGTATCAGATTTGGCCCAATCCAGATATCTGTCCTTCCATAATAAACTTCATAACCATCCCAACCCTCTTGTCTCTAACCTTGCTTCCTATTCGATTCCTGATAACCCTCCGAGGCGTCTGAAAAGAAGATGGCCACGTGATCTTCTAATATAGACATATTATTAGAGTGCTACCAATGGGTAGTTTCTCAACATGTGTTCCATGTCTTTATACCAATGTGCAAATTTACTAGATGTATTTTTTTGTATACAGTTGTAAATATCATTTAAAATAAATAAATAAAAAATTAAAATAAATGAATAGATAGTTATAAAAAAATTGTGTACAACTAAAAATATAACATTTCTCTTATATCAATATGGCAAGTCTGAACAACCATTTGTATCCATGTGAGTATCTGTATCAGATAGAAAGTATCCGACCCATCCCTAGTTCTTATGTATTCTGAAGAGTGTATTCGTTCTAACATTACCTTTTTCTCTACCTGACATTCTTATTGTTCGCAGGAGATCCGTGCACAGCTAAAGACGGTGGCCGAGGCATCTGTACCTTATTTAGCAGCTGCACTACCCTCGGAGATTACACTAAGAACTTCCCCATAAACTGTGGATTCAAAGGAAAGGAGGCCATCGTGTGCTGTCCCAACTACAATTCAAAAACTTTTAAAAAGATTGAAGAACGTAAGAGTATTTTTAATTTCGGTTGAATGACTGACTGTCGTGAATAATGAAGAGAAGAATAGTTGGAGTGATCAGTCAGAAATAAGAAGGCAAAAACAAATTATGGTGCTTTACCATAGCTTTACTTTGTTCCTGTCATCTAAGGACGAAGGCATGTAAAAATAAATAGTATCATTTATTTTTGCCTTCTTATTTGACTGATCACCCCAACTATTCTTCTCTCCATTTTTTAAAAAAATATTATTAAATTGTCATTTTTCATTTCCAAAATTAGCTTTACAATGATTTGACTAATTGAAACAATCATTTATTGGGTCATTAATTCTAATTATATTTTTCTGTTGTTTCCGTTTGTTTTTTAGTATGCAGTTGGATGCAAGATACATGCCTAGACAATTTGGATCCCACAGTAAATGTGATGAATGGTACAGAGTCAAAACCTAAGGAACACCCATATATGGTAAGGCTTCTAATAGGTTCATCTGAACACTAATAAGTTAAAATTTCATGTTATCATACTTCTTATAGCTGACATTTCTTTCTATATTGGAGACACAGAAGAGGATAGTGTTTCGCCATAAACATTTTTATTTTCACTCACCAATATATGCAATATATAATAAGGGAAATTATTGCGATCGTTAAAATTTTCTAATCTGAGTTTTCAATGGAAATACACGTTTTGAGATCCTCTGAGTCCAAATAACCAAATCCCACAAAATGGTCTGTGTGTATGTGAACACAAGCATAAAAACGAAAAGTCCTTCGAAACTGATATTGTGTATTTTTTTTAATTTATTTTAAATGACATTTACAACTGTATACAAAAAAATACATCTAGTAAATTTGCACATTGGTATAAAGACATGGAACACATGTTGAGAAACTATCCATTGGTAGCACTCTAATAATATGTCTATATTAGAAGATCACGTGGCCATCTTCTTTTCAGACGCCTCGGAGGGTTATCAGGAATCGAATAGGAAGCAAGGTTAGAGACAAGAGGGTTGGGATGGTTATGAAGTTTATTATGGAAGGACAGATATCTGGATTGAGCCAAATCTGATACATAAGGAACATTAAGGTCATTATGGATAATTTTATTTGTAACAAAGTAAGGAGCATTGAGGATTTTACGAAGGATTTTAGATTGCAAGGACTGTATGCGAGAGGAATTTGAAGGCTTGGTGGAGCCCCATAGCTCAACCCCGTAAGTCCAAATAGGCCTTATTATAGTCATGTAAATCAGTCTTTTATAATTGATTGGAAGATTAGAGCGTTTGTCTAGTAAGTGTTGAAGTAGTCGGAAACGTCGAGCGGTTTCTTGTCGTTTCAGTCTGGTATGAGGATTCCAAGTTAGACGTTTGTCCAGATGGAGTCCTAGGTAACGGATTTGTTCAACAGGAATAAGTGAGGTGTTGTTAAAGGATACTGAAGGACAGGAAGTCATTGGTTTACGACGAAGGGTGAAGGTAATTTGATGGGATTTATTGGAATTTATTTTAATTCTCCATTTCTGACACCATTCTTCCAGGTTTGTGATGTGGGATTGAAGGGTTTGGGATGCAATAGATGGGTCGTTATTGACTGATAGGATACATGTGTCATCAGCATATGTGGTGATGACAGTGTTGGGATGGGTTGGGATGTCAGCTGTATAAACTGTGTAAAGGATAGGACCTAGGATACTACCTTGAGGAACACCTGCAGACTGGGAAAAACGGGATGTATATACATTGTTGTGATTTACTTTAAAGTATCTATCAGTAAGGTAGGAACGGATAATGAGGAAGTAGGTAGATGGTAGGAATTTTCGGAGTTTGTACAGCAGTCCCGGGTGCCAAACTCTATCAAACGCCTGTTCAACATCGAGAAAGGCTCCCGTACAGTACATACCGCGCTCCAATGCAGAGGATACTACGTCTACCACACGATGGCATTGCTGTATAGTGGAATGGGAGGAGCGGAATCCAAATTGGTGATCTGGGATTATGTGATTAGAATCTAGGATTGGGTACAGGCGTTTTAAGATTAGTTTTTCCAGGATTTTTCCCATGATGGGTAACAGAGAGATGGGACGGTAAGAGGATGGATATTCTGGTGGCTTTTTGGGTTTGTGGATCATTTTGACAATAGATATTTTCCAAGGATCAGGGGATATTGTGTATTTAAGATTAAAATCGACTGAACGGAAATGCAACAATATATCAACGGTGAAACACATTTGTACAATTTATCTCAAAAACGGCTCTAACGATTTTGATTAAACTCGGTGTATAATTGTTTAATTAAGTGGTCTTTAATATCATTGAGGTCTTATCCCCATTGATGTCACTTTACAGTGCTAAAATGTTCAATGTGTCAACTATCTCTCAGTATTAGGAGTTATAAAAAAAAGGCTAAATATAGGAGGTGATTTGATCGAGATCACACTCAACCGCCAGGTTTTCTCCTTAATTAAACTACCCACTTTATAGAGGCTGGGTGTGCTCCAGGAGGGTCTACCTACCCAGGGTCGCCCCTCGGCTAATGAAACAGAATAAATAATTTGTCTGCCATGAGCTAGGATTAGAAGCTGGGACCTTTAGCATTGGAAGCTCAGTGCCCTACCACTGAGCTACTCCACTCCCGCAAAATTCGTAATTGTCCTTAACTAACTCCCTTTCAATTCTCTATCCTATTCTCCCTTTCTAGGAATGCGAATGATATTCGAAATCGAATCAACGAACTAACCGTCTTATTACATCAGAAAACATTGACGTAGCGCTAACAACTGATATTCGACTAACAAATATTTTATTTTTCAGGGGTTGTATTTATAAATAAATAAAATATTATCTATAATAAAACTCTCATCCATCATATACACGTTCCTGTGCTTTAGTTCACTTTTTCGGTTTATTCTAGATTACCATTTTCATTTGTTATGTTACCTTATATTTTATTATGCTTGTTCCATTGGTCCTTTATTAAGGTTATTATTATTTATTTCTTAGTTCTCTGTTATTGTTATCATTCCACCTACTTTGTTTTAGTTTAATGTTCATTCTATCTACTTCATTTTACGTTAAGTTTTTTCTACCTAAAATTATTACCTTTTTTTATCTTAATTCTGTATTATTCAATGTTATTATACCTGTTGTTATCTGGTTCTTTTCTCAGCCCTGATGAAGGCCTAAACTTCGGGCTGAAACGTCGGCGAATGTAAAAATAAATACAATTATTTATTTTCTTCTCTTCAATTATTCACTACAGTCAACCATAAACCCAAAATTGTTAAATTAAATAATTTTCGAATAAAGTACCTATTGAATTACTCTACCTCCTCCATATATTGAGGATTTTATTTATTTATAAATACAACCCCTGAAAAATAAAATATTTGTTAGTCGTAGGTAGAGTAATTCAATTCGTTATTCGAAAATTATTTAATTTAACAATTTTGGGTTTATGGTTGACTGTAGTAAATAATTGAAGAGAAGAATAGTTAGGGTGATCACTCAAATTAATAACAGAGAACTAAGAAATGAATAATAATAACGGTAATAAAGGACCAATGGAACAAGCATAATAAAATATAAGGTAACATAAGAAATGAAAATGGTAATCTAGAATAAACCGAAAAAGTGAACTAAAGCACAGGAACGTATATATGATGGATGAGAGTTTTATTATAGATAATATTTTATTTATTTATAAATATAACCCCTGAAAAATAAAATATTTGTTAGTCGGATATCAGTTGTTAGCGCTACGTCAATGTTTTCTGATGTAATAAGACGGTTAGTTCGTTGATTCGATTTCGAATACCATTCCCATTCCTAGAAAGGGAGAATAGAATAGAGAATAGAAAGGGAGTTAATTAAGGACAATTACGAATTTTTCGGGAGTGGAGTAGCTCAGTGGTAGGGCACTGAGCTTCCAATGCTAAAGGTCCACAAATTATTTATTCTGTTTCATTGGTCGAGGGGCGACCTAGGTAGACTCTGCTGAAGCACACCCAGCCTCTATAAAGTGTTTAACCTTAATTCAAGTAATTAATTAAGGGGGAAACCTGGCGGTTGACCGTGATCTCGATCAAATCACCTCCTTGAATAACCTTAGACCAATAAGCAGTGCTTTCCCTATATAGTTCTGAACCCAAGACCCTTCATTGGTTGTAGTAGTACAGGTTTCTTTTTTAATTATTGATTTCTCGGTGGTTGGCGGTGGCGGTGGGATGATGTTGGTTACAACAATTGTAAGGAGAGTGATAAGTGGGGTGATGAGGGATTTGAACTTAGATATAAATGACTCAGATATTAGGAGGAGGAATACAGAAAATTCAATGTTAGTGGGACTTATCGGTATTAGATCTAGGTTGAGAAATGGAAGGATGCTGTGGATTGTGAGGTGGAGGTGGTGTTTGCGGCAGGGCCTGAGATTCCATAGTCACTTCCGTTTCTTCAAGCATTTGAGCGTAGGAAACTCTTGAATTCGCCAGTCTGGAGGGTGCTCTTGATAGTCTGGAGGGTGCTCTTGATAGTGTGGAGGGTGCTCTTGATAGTGTGGAGGGTGCTCTTGATAGTCTGGAGGGTGCTCTTGATAGTCTGGAGGGTGCTCTTGATAGTGTGGAGGGTGCTCTTGATAGTCTGGAGGGTGCTCTTGATAGTCTGGAGGGTGCTCTTGATAGTCTGGAGGGTGCTCTTGATAGTGTGGAGGGTGCTCTTGATAGTCTGGAGGGTGCTCTTGATAGTCTGGAGGGTGCTCTTGATAGTCTGGAGGGTGCTCTTGATAGTCTGGAGGGTGCTCTTGATAGTCTGAAGGGTGCTCTTGATAGTCTGGAGGGTGCTCTTGATAGTGTGGAGGGTGCTCTTGATAGTGTGGAGGGTGCTCTTGATAGTCTGGAGGGTGCTCTTGATAATCTGGAGGGTGCTCTTGATAGTGTGGAGGGTGCTCTTGATAGTCTGGAGGGTGCTCTTGATAGTCTGGAGGGTGCTCTTGATAGTCTGGAGGGTGCTCTTGATAGTCTGAAGGGTGCTCTTGATAGTCTGGAGGGTGCTCTTGATAGTGTGGAGGGTGCTCTTGATAGTGTGGAGGGTGCTCTTGATAGTCTGGAGGGTGCTCTTGATAGTCTGGAGGGTGCTCTTGATAGTGTGGAGGGTGCTCTTGATAGTCTGGAGGGTGCTCTTGATAGTCTGGAGGGTGCTCTTGATAGTCTGGAGGGTGCTCTTGATAGTCTGGAGGGTGCTCTTGATAGTCTGGAGGGTGCTCTTGATAGTCTGGAGGGTGCTCTTGATAGTCTGGAGGGTGCTCTTGATAGTCTGTATTGTGCTCTTGATAGTCTGGAGGGTGCTCTTGATAGTCTGTATTGTGCTCTTGATAGTCGGTATTGTGCTCTTGATAGTCTGTATTGTGCTCTTGATAGTCTGGAGGGTGCTCTTGATAGTCTGTATTGTGCTCTTGATAGTCTGGAGGGTGCTCTTGATAGTCTGTATTGTGCTCTTGATAGTCTGTATTGTGCTCTTGATAGTCTGTATTGTGCTCTTGATAGTCTGTATTGTGCTCTTGATAGTCTGTATTGTGCTCTTGATAGTCTGTATTGTGCTCTTGATAGTCTGTATTGTGCTCTTGATAGTCTGGAGGGTGCTCTTGATAGTCTGTATTGTGCTCTTGATAGTCTGTATTGTGTTCTTGATAGTCTGGAGGGTGCTCTTGATAGTCTGTATTGTGCTCTTGATAGTCTGTATTGTGCTCTTGATAGTCTGGAGGGTGCTCTTGATAGTCTGTATTGTGCTCTTGATAGTCTGGAGGGTGCTCTTGATAGTCTGTATTGTGCTCTTGATAGTCTGTATTGTGTTCTTGATAGTCTGGAGGGTGCTCTTGATAGTCTGTATTGTGCTCTTGATAGTCTGTATTGTGCTCTTGATAGTCTGGAGGGTGCTCTTGATAGTCTGTATTGTGCTCTTGATAGTCTGTATTGTGCTCTTGATAGTCTGTATTGTGCTCTTGATAGTCTGTATTGTGCTCTTGATAGTCTGTATTGTGCTCTTGATAGTCTGGAGGGTGCTCTTGATAGTCTGGAGGGTGCTATGAAAGCATCTTCTGGTCTGAAAGCTGCCTGTATTATCATTTTTAGGTCCTAGTATGTCTGACACCGCTTGTAGTTAGCTGGGTGATTTAGATATCATTGTAAACACACAACTATGTTTTTCTACTCTCGTCGCACTCTTCTGATTTATGTGACTCGCCACACCTTACACAACGAGGTTGATGATGACAATAGTGTCTTGTGTGTCCGTATGCTTGGCAGTTATGACACTGTACTATTGTTCGCTTGGGATAAGGCTTTTCAATAATTAAACGCGTGTAATAAAGGCGAGTAACATTATAAATTTCTAAAAGAAGATCTTGGGAAGGATATTATAATAAGTATTAGTAGAAAAAGGCCTTTTCAGTCTAGATAAATAATTATTTTATTTCAAATTTATCCAAATTTTCGCCTCATTAGCGATAATCTGATTTTACATATAATTTAAAATTTCATCTGAAAATATATGTATAAAAACCATTCAGAGTATTTACTATTAGACATTAGCCCATTTATAAAACCAGAATAACCTTAAAAACAATATCCACCAGACAACAATATATATATATATATATATATCAAAATATAAAAACTTAGGCGCTTATAGCAGTGCACCCTCTTGCGCTCTTAGTCAAAGAAAACAATCGAATGAGACTATCCTTTAAGGAGGAGAGGCGTAGCCAACATTAAAATATTTTTTTATTTATATGATATTTACAACTGTATAAAAAAAAATACATCTAGTAAATTTGCACATGGATATAATGATATGGAACACATGTTGAGAAAATACCCATTGTTAGCACTCTAATAATATGTCTTTATTAGGAGATCATGTGGCCATCTTCTTTTCAGACGCCTCGGAGGTTTATAAGGAATTGAATAGGAAGCAAGGTTAGAAACAAGAGGGTTGGGATGGTTATGAAGTTTATTATGGAAGGACAGATATCTGGATTGGGCCATTGTGGATGATTTTATTTTTAACAAAGTAAGGAGCATTGAGGATTTTACGAAGGCTTTTGGATTGTAAGGATTGGATACGAGAGGAGTTTGAAGGTTTGGTGTAGCCCCATAGCTCAACTCCGTAAGTCCAAATATGCCTTATTATAGTCATTTAAATGAGTCTATTGTAATTAATTGGAAGAGCGCTTGTCTATTAAGTGTTGAAGTAGTCGGAAACGTCGAGCGGTTTCTTGTCGTTTCAGTCTGGTATGAGGATTCCAAGATAGACGTTTGTCCAGGTGGAGTCCTAGGCAACGGATTTGTTCAACAGGAATAAGTGAGGTGTTTTTAAAGGATACTGAGGGACAGGAAATCATTGGTTTACGGCGGAGGGTGAAGGTAATTTCATGGAATTTATTGGAGTTTATTTTAATTCTCCAGTTTTGACACCATTCATCAAGGTTTATGATGTGGGATTGAAGCATTTGGGATAAAATTGATCTGTCATTCTTTACTGATAGCATACATGTGTCGTCGGCATATGTGGTGATGACAGTGTTGAGATGTCAGCTGTATAAACTGTAGAGGATAGGACCTAGGATACTACCTTGGCATATGACTTAAAACATAAATTTAACTCTAGGAAAGTTGCTCATTTTTGTTTTGTAAAATGTTTTAACAATGCAGGTTTTGATTGGCTATGAAGCAGAAAATAAGTTACAGTGGCGATGCGGTGGGACTATCATTACGTCAAGATATGTCTTGAGTGCAGCGCATTGTTCAGAACCCCCTGGTTTGTAAGTAGTCATTATTATTTTTTAATATTAAGTATTTATTCTTAAGTATAATATTTTTTAAAAATACAATTTTTTTAGAAATAAAAATTGTAATTTAATGATTGATTTAACATCCTTAAAATTTTTAACGTCAAAGTAAAAAAAAAAAAAAATGGTTCACAATAAATTACTGTAATTAATTTGGATGAAAACACAGGTAATTTGAAGAGACCGAACGTCACCAAATTTTCTAAAAAATCTAGAGACAAACTCAGATTATTTTGTAACATACCTGAACTTATATCACCAAGTCATAGGCGCAGTCTTCAGAAGGATGTGGGGACGAGGAGAACGATTCCTCCCCTCCCCCCAAATAAGTAAAAATTCAAATCAATATTAAATAAGCTACACGAATGTATAAAATGTGTAGAATAAAATCAATCAATTAATTTTTCTGAATAGAAGAATAGTTGGGATGATCAGTAAATAAGAAGACAAAAATAAATGATAATATTTATTTTGACATTTGCCGACGTTTCGACCTGAAGTTCAGGCCATCATCGGGGCTGACTGCAAGAAGTAGCAATGACTTCTTTGCAGTATACTTCTTACTTACTTACTTCTTACTTACATCTTACTTCTTTGCAGTCAGCCCTGATGATGGCCGAAACGTCGGCAAATGTCAAAATAAATATTATCATATTGCCTTATTTGACTGATCACCCCAACTATTCTTCTCTTCATTATTCACGACAGTCAACCATTTACCCACAATTAATTTTTCTATTTACAGCTACTAATTTCTTCATATTCTTTTTCTCTGTTTTATATTTTATTCTATGTCAATTTTACTTCCTTTTAGCTTACTGAGATATCATGTTTTATGCACAACGTCACCCCATTTATTCTATCTCTAACACTCATATTCCAATACATTTCTTACATTTTTCATTTTTATTGTTGTCTGATTTCATTAGTCCCTAACTTTGTTGCTGTTATTATTCATTTCATAAGTTCCTCTCTGTTACTGTTATTATTTTTTCATAAGTTCCTAACATAGTAACCGTTACGTTATATATCTTAACTTTGCTTCCGCTGCTTCCTATTCCAACTTCGTTATCGTTATATTTCATATGTCTGCCTCTCCACTTATTTATTAATGTTAAGTGTTAGACTATACCTTTCACCTACATATTATTATTTTCTTTTTAATGTTAATAGTGTCTCGTTCCTATTGTTATCTTGTTCTTGGGCCGAAACGATGACAAAAATAAAAATAAATATTATTTATTTATTTTTACTTTGTATTTTAACTGAAAACGCTAATCAACTTCTCTTCAAGTAAACTAAAATCGATTAAGAAAAAACTGACTAGGCGTAGTAGTAGATATGTGACTATTTTATCGATACCTAAATGTTACTTTTATTTAAACTGTTATTTATATTCAAAGATGATAATATATATCAATAGAACTTTATAATTCATCCCTCCCCCCAATTGTCACGTGATATTCCTATCACATTTACCGCAGCAAACTAGTCGGACTGTGAGAAATGTTATATTTTTATTTGAGGTTGTATACAGTAAGAAATTAAAGATATTTTTCACTTGTTTACATTATTCATTCATTAGCTCAATTAGTATAGACTAAAAGCCTAGTAACGCATACAGCTTGGTGTACACTAACTGGGACATAATTGTTTTGTCTTCTAACTTCTTAAACATATTAAGAGTTTTAACTTAAATAATATAACTTTTTAACATTTTAATGTGAAAAAATATGTGAAGGTTCATTTCGTGGTTTAGATGTTGGTAGCGAACCTTCATGTGGGTATCTTGGTTTTTGTGTATTGCCTCCTAACTACCGAAGATAGGGAATCGTTGTATTCGTGCGAGAGGTTAAAATTTTTTTTAGGTATTTAGGCGAGAGGTTAGAATCGAAAATTTCCACTCGCGTTTTACGTTTCACACACAAGGATCAAATTTGGTTCGGTGTCTGTCTGTCTTTTTTTTTTTTTTTTAAACCCCTTCTTGGCATTTTTGCATTTTGTAGGTTTCAGCAGTGCGTTAATACGTTGGGAACTACGTTGATACGTACCGATACTGCTGCCAATACTCTTAATAATAATACTCTTTTATTTTATTGTAACTGCGGTGCGGCCCGGTGCAATGGTGTGCGCCTCACTGATGGGACCCCACCTTTGTCTCCAGCTGGATGCGTATCTTGTCCCCCTGGGCAGCTTCCTCCAACAGTTTGATGATGCCTCACCCGGTCCTCTTCCTTATGGCCTGCTCGTGGAAATCACCCGCAGGTCCCACACGTCCCATGGTGGAATGAACTTCGTGTCAGGCGGATACTCCGTAATCTGTCTCAGAACCTTATCCTCTTCGTCGTCCCTAGGGTAGGTCTGGTCCAAGTATCTTTCAACTGTTTCCTCGAGGGTGGCTGCTGGTCCACCTGCTGATGTTATTGCCGCCATTATTTGACCGGGTTTAAGTTTTTATAAACTGGTCCCAGGAAACTCACTTCTGGCGTCGCACTCCGGCCTTATATAGCCTATGCTTGTCCCGGCATTCTTCCCGGAGTGCTGCTTTTCTTCCTTCCACTCTGCACTTTTGGTATCTACGGCTGGCCCTGTGATACTCCTTATTGAGTTCTATCAGCGCTGGAGTCCACCATGGAACGCACTGTTTCCTCATTCCTCTGGGTTTCAACGAGTCACCCGCTGCAGCACATATTAGCCTGGACAGCTTCTCTACACGCTGGTCCAGACAGTAGCTCACAAGGGCAGTAGGATTCGTACTCTCTTCCCAGTCCTGGTCCAACAACTTGGACTCCAGAGCGCTGGCAAAGAGCGCCCAGTCGGCCTTCTTCGTTACGAACCCCATTTTCCTTTCGCTGTAGTGGTGATCACTGTCCTTTAAGTTAAATCCTATGGTTCTGTGGTCGGAGTTCGTGTCAGACCGCAGCAACCAGTCAGTAATCCTCCTTGGCATGACAGGAGTAGCCAGGGTTACATCAATCCAGCTCTGGCCCCTCGCTCCCAGTAACGTGGGTGCAGAGGACTCGTTCAATACGATAAGCTGACATGTAGCTAGGCAGCCCTCAACTGTCATACTCCTTGCATCTGTTCTAACTGATTCCCAGGCCGTGCTCCACTAGATCGTGTCAGAGCATACTATTACGGTTCGATATCGGAGTGCAACAGCCTCTGGAGCAGCAACATTATAGTGATATCCTGTTCAGGCGGCATGTATGAGGATACCAGTGCAAAAGCGGTATTCCTCCATTTAACATAACATGCCGCTTGGTTCGCTGTCATATGCTGCTCCAGCTCCATGATATCGGTCTGTCAGTAGTCAAATCGATGTAACGGGCATCGATCATTTACTACAGTTTATCCGATTTTCAGGGATTGTGCAGGTTGGTGTCTAGATGGTCCTATTTCAATTTTATTAAATACTAACCAGCACTTCCGCCTATACACCTGCAAACGCATTTTTGTAGATATGCCAATATTTCAGAAAATGCTTGTTTGATTTGGCTCAAAGTTGGATAAAAGGTAGATATTTGTGAAAAAATAATGTAGGATCAACATTATTGAATTCTGTCCTGCTTTCTCTTATATATGCGTGTTTTCTCTGATACGTCTATATCTCTAAATTCGCAAGTTCGATTTGGCTCAAACTTGGAAAAAATTTAGGGATTGGCCAATGTAAAATAAAATAGTCATCAATTTTATCAAACTCTATCTACTACTAAGAAAAAACTTCCGCTTTCTGATCAGAAAATGTGTTATTTGATATGCCTATATTTTGAAAACGGCGCATGGAGGACATTTGGAGAACAGTATAGAAATTACTTAGTATCAATTTCATTGAATTCCATTTAATAATTAAAATTAATATAGATATTTATTCGTTATATAAATTTATTGAATTTAAAGTAATTTTTACTCTGAATTCGTAAAAAAATATATCTTATTTGTGATTGTGTTTATTTCCATTGAAGTTCAACCAGCTCTTCGTGGTGTCGATTTTCTTCTTAAATATCAAAATTGTGTCAACTTCACTCATATTTTTATATTCCAACTTAATTAGTTTTGTTCTGACTGAAGAAAGGTATTGGAAGTATCGATAACTCCTAACAAACAAAAAGTTGAATTTTTCCTATCGATATTTTGTACCATCCAGTTGACGTGTGAAAACATACCTATTAAGAATGTTAGTACAAAAGTAGTATGTAAAAGTTTTCAATTTTTATTCTATTGTTGACATTATGTAGTATGCAATTGATATAAGTAGTCTACTACTTTGAAAATAGCAGAGTGCAATCAAATATAAAATTATGCTAACAAATCATAAAGACATAATTAGTTTTAGCTGTATATACGTCATTTGCACTAACAGTAATATATATTCAGTATGCACTGGATTTTTTTTTTTTTTAATTACGAATTATCAAATATGTTATCTGCAAGTGCGGAACTTTTTTGCATTTTAGTATTTGCTGATAAACAAAAACCTCGTGGATATCAAGCCCGTATATGTTGAGGGATCACTGAATTTCCGAAAACGGCTTCTTCCAGAGATTTTATTCTCGTAAGAACACTTTTACACCTTTTAATATAGATATTTTTTAGCGAATGAAAACGGCGAGGAAGCTCTCCTGACCTTACTTGGCACAAGTTTTTTTTTTTATGTTTCCTATTTACCTATTTTTATTTCTATCGATTCCAGAATAAAATCAATTCAATCCATTTAAAATTTGTCAATTATGTACTTTTGGTTTATTATTTTCAATAATCAACCATTGTGATCGATCAAAAAATTCAAAAACTTAACCCCCTCTCAAAATTTGAGGTTTCACGTTTCAGGACGAGTAGAATTCGAAAAACTAATAAAAATTTTGTTGTCCGTCTGCCGTCCGCGCATTTTCTCCGAAACTACAGAACCGATTTTTTTCAAATTTTGATATAAAATCAGAGGTCACCCGAGGATGATCCTCCTTCATCAACATTACTATCCGCCTTTTACTTTCAAAATGGCGGCCGAAAAACCTGCGTTGCTATAGACTGTAGCTCCTAAACGAATGTACAGATTTCAAAGAAACTTCGCTAAAGTCATTTTCTCGACGCCCATTAAATTTATCTATATAACATAATTCAACGAAAAGAAGCTGGAAAAAAAGTTACGAGGGATGGTAAAATTAAATTCCGAATAACTCGAAAAGTTTATACTTTTTTGTAAATATTGTATGGTTTTTTAAAATTTTATGGAATTTCCTAAAAAACCAAAAAAAAAAAATCGTTAAAATCGGACATTTAGGAGGAAAGATATGGTCTCTAGTTTTTTCCCCGAAGAGGTGAAAATTTGGATAAAATTAAAATATATTTTTTTAATTCTTGAGACTAAAAACACCTTTTTTCTACAGATATTTAATAAAATATCTTTCTTAAGAACATCTTTCATAAGAAAGTAGTACCTAAATTTATACTTTTATTCTCTGTTCTATATTTCAACGCTGCAATCACCACCTCCGGAATCAACTTACTCACTGTCTGCATAGATAACTTTTTCAACTAAAAATATCACTAAAATGACATCACTCAAAAATGTTGAAATTGGAGTGAGTCATTCTGTGGTTTATTAAAGAAGATAGAGTGAATAGATTTTTATTGCCTGTCTTCCATATATTAAATAGACATTTTGTAATTGTAATGGTCTTAATGACTTGTTATCTATAAGCTTTAGGTCCGTTTATAATGCACTTCAAAAAATTTGATAATAGCCCAGCATTGCCAGAAAATAATTTCTATTCAAAGTAGATCGGTAAGTGAAAGTTGTGTGTTGCGCGCACTAGATTTTTTTTTTAATGTAATGTTAATTGGTATAAACTTTGCCTAAAGTTGACGATCCTCCTTCATCAACATTACTATCCGCCTTTTACTACCAAAATGGCGGCCGAAAAATCTGCGTTGCTATAGACTGTAGCTCCTAAACGAATGTACAGATTTCAATGAAACTTCGCCATAGTCATTTTCTCGACGCCCTTTAAATTTATCTATATAACATAATACAACGAAAAGAAGCTGGAAAAAAAGTTACGAGGGATGGTAAAATTAAATTCCGAATAACTCGAAAAGTTTATATTTTTTTGTTGATATTGTATATAGGTTTTTTAAAAGTTTACGAAATTTCCTAAAAAACAAAAAAAAACCGTTAAAATCGGACAATTAGGAGCAAAGATATGGTCTCCTTTTTTTTTTATATGTTCTACTCCAAATGTTATATCCTTGGTTTGGTTTTTAAATTTTGAATGTGTTACTGAACTAATGCTATTTTTTTTTAGCATATTACTAATGATTAAAAAAAAAAGTTTAGTCCAATAATTGGAATCACGTTTTGTATTTTTTTTTCTTTGTAACTCGGAAGGTAATGTTACTTTAGATGTATAGTTGTTTGGAAATAATAAACCATTGTGGAATAATTTGCAGCGTTTTTCTTCTTTGGCTTCTCCCTTTCGTGCCTCTCAGCGTAAGGGAGTGAGCAGCCACAACCTCCACTCTTCTCTGTTCTTTTCTACGTTTCGGGCTCGACGGAGATGTTTGTCTCTTCCTTTGCAGAGTCTATAGATGTACTTCAGATATGACATTCTTGGGCGTCCTCGAGGTCTTTTGCCGGATCGTAGTCATCGTCTTCAATGGATCCCTATGTTCCTCCAACCTAATGGCGGATTCGCAGAACCTCTGTCAATGAGGGGACCTCCAGCTCCTGGCGTATACTTTCGTTACTAACCCGTCCCTCCTAGTCTTTCGGACTGTTCTTCGTAGAAACTTCATTTCAGAAGCAGTGACTCTGCTCTCTTGCCTGTCTTTCAATGTCCAGCTTTCAGCTCCATATAGAAGTATTGACAGGTACACAGATTTAAATATATGGAGCTTGACGTTCTTGTATACCTCCTGATTTCCTACAACAATGTATCTGGCAGTAGACTGTATTTGCTTTGCTTATTCTATTGTATATTTCTAAGTCCACTATCCCCCACCTTTCTATGACAGTTCCTAGGTAGATGAAGTCTGAGAGCACTTCTAATTGCTCTCCATTGCAGTGTACATGCCTCTCTTAATTTTGCTTTCTTACTTGTACCTTTCTTTTGCTGGTATTGATCTGTATTCCGGTAGAGTTTTAGAGTTAATGCATGCTATCTGGCAGCACTGTAGCGCTTGTAAACAAAAGCAGGTTGGCTTGGGTTAGGTTACCCAGAGAGTAGTAGTCCTATGTTCCTGATAGTGTGATGTTTATGTAGAGGAATAAAAGTGTGATGTGTATTTCTGGTATAAAGTTTATAAATATAGCCTCATTTGTTTCCTGACATCACACAGTGGGAAATTAAGGATAATGAGTGCTGAAGAGTTGAAAACTGCCAAATTGTTAAAAAAAAAGCTTCATTTGTTTCCTGAAGTGATTTCCTAATATTAAATAGTTCCTCATACCATTCGGTCACCGCCTGCCGAACTTTTAGCACAAGGACATCATCGGTATATAGCAGAAGCTGCATCACCACCATTCTCATTCTTTACATTTCTTATGGGTTTATTTTTGCGACCTCTTAAGATTCTAATTTTCCTCCAGAATAGTTTAATATTCTCCGCATGATCTTGGTTTAGTTTCTCTCCGAATTCCTTTCACGATTTTTGCTTTGCTCTTCTTACTGCTTCCTTTATCAATTATTAATCCTTTGTCAACTTAAAATATATAAATATATTTATAAAGTTTAACACAGTATAAATTAATTTCAGAGGTCCTGCCAAATGGGCCAGGCTAGGAGAATTGGTCATTAGTTCCACATCGGATGACGCAAGACCAATCGACAAGTCCATCACCGATAGAATCCGATACCCGAAATACAAACCAAGCCAGAACTATCATGACATCGCCCTCTTCAAATTGAATAGTGATGTCGTTTTCAATAGTTATATATCGCCGATATGTCTCAAAATTAAGCGACAGACAGCCACGAAGTATTCTACTGTCGTGGGCTGGGGAACTTTCAATAAGAGCAGTAAGTATTAAACTTCGACACTTTTCTTTATTATATACTTGAAAATTTTAATGAAACATTATTTATGAGAAAGAATAGACAACGCCATGCATGGGACCGAGGGAGGCGATTATACAGTGTGTCCCATAAGTAGAGAGAAATATTTAAAAGAAGTATAGCAGACCTTAAAAATCACAAGGAGTTGATAAAAGCAATACTCCAATTTTCCTTAAAAAACGTGAGCTTTTGAGTCTTAGGTATATATAAATGTATTTACAAAAAGTAAGCTAATAGGTATATTGGGGAAAAAAGTGATCTTCTAACTTAAATCGATTAAGAAGAAAAATAAATAAATGAAAGAACAATGAAATGAAAATCAACTAATGATATATATATATACATATTTACATAAATTTCTAATTGTAATTTTATAGGGACTGGAAGGAAAGGAAGTGATCGAATAGGCGGGGATTTAAAAATAGGAAAAGTATTGGAGAGATGGATGTAGGAGGGACGGAGTTCCACAGGGATGAGGATCGAACAATAAAAGATTTATCGAAAAGAGTGGTTCGGTGGGACATTATATATAAATCTGATGACTGGGAACGGGTATTGCGGGAGTGAACAGAGGATTTAAATTAAAGGAGCTCGGAGATGTATGAAGTATGGTGGGAGTGAATGGCTAGGAAGGGGAACGAGGCCAGGAAATACTTACGGTGGTAGGAAGGATAAAGCCCCTTCAACTCTTTATAAAAACAGGAAACAGAAGCTTCCCGAAGATGAATCGTACAAAGAAATTTATCAAACGTTTTAATTTCGCCTCGAGATCCTCAGAGACGCCTCCATATACCGTGCAGCAATAGTCAAAGTGAGGAAAATATTAAAGAGGTGACCAGGAGTCTACGGGTTTAAAAAGTAAAAAGGTAACGGAGGCTATTGACATGTTTTAAGTTTGAAAAGATGCATCGGGAGATATTGGCTACATGTTTTTTCCAGGAAAGCTTTTGATCAAAGATTATTCCAAGGTTTTTGATAGTGGAATTAAATTTGGTGGGATTATCATGCAGGAAAAGAGTTGGAATGTTAGGGACAATTTTAAGAAGGTGATTGCACCCTATTAGGATTGCTCCCTACCCAGCTCCCGCCCAGTCACATATTCTATTTAAGTCTTCTTAAAGCTCTTTTGTGGCGGCTAAAAGGTCGGAAGGGGGGAAGGACAGGTATATTTGGAAATCGTCGGCATAGATGTGGTATTGTGTGTGATGGATCAGGAGGGGAAGGTCATTAATGTAAATAGCAAACAGAATCGGAGATAAGGAGGAGCCCTGAGGGACACCACAGGACAGAGGGGGTGTCTTTGAAGGAGATCGATTAGGAACGACTCCATACTAGGATCGATCGGAAAGAAAGGATTTGAACCATTGCAGGACACTGTTGGATAGAGGAAGATTTTGCAATTTAGTAAGGAGAATGTAATGGTCAATTGTATAAAATTCTTTGGAAAAATAAAGACGGATGAGGATAGTAACGTTCTGGTGTTCAATGGGGTTTCGGAGGTTATGGGTTATTTAAAGGAAGGTAGATTTCATTGAAGAGCCAGGTCGAAAGCCAGATTGGAATGGATTGATGAGGAAACGTTCTTTTAGGAAGTTGCAAGGTTGATTTTGGACAAGGCGTTCCAGCGGTTTTGAAAGGTTCCAAAGGAGAGAAATAGGACGGAAGTCGTTCAGTGAGGGCGTGTTAGAAATTGTATTCAAAGGTCGGACTAGTGCAGTTTTCCAGGAAGAAAGAAATATGGAATTTTGCAATGAAAAGTTGTAAACATGGTTAAGTACAGGAAAGCTGGATTTTATTAGCCTCACTGGAATATTGCCAGGACCATAATCATTGGTGTGGGATTTCAGGACAGTGGAAAGTACTTTGTCGTAGGATACATGAGAAAAAAGTTTTCAGGATAGAAATTGTGGTGTTCAATATCATAAGTAGGAGAAGGATTGGGAGCAAGTGATAAGAACTGGTCATTAAGATCATCTGGAGGGTAACGCTACACTACAGTTGCCCTACTTTTAGAAAGAGACTTGTTTGATTAATAAGGTTTAAGTTCATTTTAATTAAGATAAGGTTTATTAGAAAATAAGTGGAGATTCACCTCAAGGTGGGTAAAAAATTTAGGTGTTAATGGCTTACAATCAGTTATCTAAAAGTATTTCAGCAAAATGATTGGAAATCTTGAATTTATTTTTTATCTATAATTTAGGATATTTTATAATAAACATAACTGCATAAATACATATTTATTGATCAAAAGCGTAAAAACATGTTACAAGTAATGTTTTTTCAAATATTTATCATCTGAATTGACAATAACTAAACCTAAAATGAAAAAAAAAAATTCCTTGTTTATAAAACATTCAATTCACATGTTCTTTCAAGTAGCCTAAATATTATATTTTAAAATAATAGTAATAAGGCGTTTGATAGAATTTGGCACCCAGGAGTGCTGTGCGAACTCCAAAAATTCCTACCACCTACATACTTCCTCATTATCCGTTCCTACCTTACTGTTAGATACTTCAAAGTAAACCACAACAATGCCTATACATCCCTCTTTTCCCAGTCTGCAGGTGTTCCTCAAGATAGTATCCTAGGTTCTATCCTTTACACAGTCTATACAGTTGATATCCCAACCCATCCCAACACTGTCATCACCATGTATGCCGATGACACATATATCCCATCAATTAATAACGATCCATCAATCGCTTCCCAAATCCTTCAATCACACTTCACAAACCTTGAAGAATGGTGTCAGAACTGGAGGATTAAAATAAATTTCAATAAATTCCATCAAATTACCTTTACCCTTCATAGTAAACAAATTAATTCCCGTCCTACAGTATCCTTTAACAATCTCTGTTGAAAAAATCCGTTACCTAGGACTCCATCTGGACAAACGTCTAACTTGGAATCCTCATACCAGACTGAAACGAAAAGAAACCGCTCGACGTTTCCGACTACTTCAGCACTTACTAGACAAACGTTATAACCTTCCAATTAACTACAAGACTCATATACATGAATTTAATAAGACTTATATGGACATACGGAGTTGAGCTATGGGGCTCCACCAAACTATGAAATTTCTATCGTATACCAGCCTTACAATCCAAAATCTTTCGTAAAATCCTCAATGATCCTTACTTTGTTACAAATAAAATCATCCATATTGACCTTAATGTTCCTTATGTTTCAGATCTGGTCCAATCCAGATACCTATCTTTCCATAATAAATTTCATATTCATTCCAACGCTCTCGTTTCTAACCTCGCTTCCTCTTCAATTCCTGATAACCCTCCGAGGCGTCTGAAAAAAAGATGACCCCGTTATCTCCTAATGTAGACATGTTATTAGAGTGCTACTAGTGGGTAGTTTCTCTACTAGTGTTTTCACCTCAGTATATCCATTGTACAAATTTACTAGATGTATTTTTATTAAATATCATAATAAATAAAATCTGGTTTTTCCACTCACACGACTTTCCTACCTACTTCAGAAAAGTTTTTATATCTTTACATGTGTCCATCAAGAAACAAAAAAAATTGAATTAGATATATTTTCCTTAAAAATGATCAAAGAAAAGGTTTGAGTACGATTTATTTGATAAACTGAAGCAATGTAAACCGGCTTAAGGTAGATCAGTATAAAAATTTCACTACTCTCTAATATTGCTGACTGCCATAGCTCAGTATTGTCAAACAATAATTTCTGTTACAAGTAGAGGAAATAGTGTGATGCGGGCAACAGATTTTCTTACTTTCACTTAGTTATTTTTTTTTTCTTATTCACTCCTTTCTGACACCATGATATGAACTCATTATCTTACATTCCCATAACTTCGTTAACAGTTGTCCCAAATGAAAGATTTTTATATAGTTATGTAGGGAATTTCATAACCTTTAAAAAAAAAACAGGCTAAACGGATGGATCACCCGATTTGTGTCACAGGCATCAGTAGTCAAAACCCTACTAAATAAAAAAAGATACAGTAGAATCGGTTTACTAGTTCCCGAGAAAATCTTGGCACAGACAGACAGACCAATGGCTAAAAATGTGTTTTTCGATCAGCCGAAAACCGCATATCGGAAATTTGACCCTATCACAATACTTTCCTTACCTAGTATAGGTAGGAAAGTAAAAAATACTAATAAACAACTTAGCGCATTTTACCAGGTCCAATCAAGACAATGGTTACTTATCAGTGGAACAGTTACAGAAGGCCGAGCTATAGAAGAATGAGGGTAACAGAAATAGATAAGAAGATACTTATCTACGCCGGGATATTTGCAAAGGTCAAATATTGTGATGAAGGTCATCAAATGAAGTTCGACGGGAAGATTAAATAGAGATGCTTTCGTATTTGTAACAAAACCGTTTCTATAAGGAAAGGAACGTAGGAGGTCGAGGATTTATTTTTTAACGGCTTTAAAATTCATTTATGGGTGGTCCCATAATTTAACTACAATGCAGTGGGGAAAGAGCAGCTCATTATTATTTCATTTATTTTTATATATATGTTGCAATGTTTTTTAATTATATATTTATAATGTTTTGGTCTATTTTAATATATACGTTGTAAAATAAAAGCACTTTGTTATAATTAGATTTGTTTCTGTTTTTGTTCACAATTTCAATAATATCAATACAATACAATAAATATGAATACGAAGATATAATAATATGAATATAATACAATAAATATGAATACGAAGAGCTTATCAGTGTTAAGGTTATAAACATTGGCAGATAGCAGTCGGACGCTACCCGCTATTAGATAAGTACCAGGCCATTCTTTAACAACAGTTGTTAAATCTCATAAAGTTCTCAAAAACTTGTAAGAGTATGTAGTAGATGAACAGGAAGCATTCAATTAATGAAATACATTTTAACACGAAAAATGCTAACAAAATATCTTATCTAAGGTACAATATCACAAGAATATTTATCATGCTTACAGGTAATGCCACTAGTGACAAGCTTCTTGAAGCGAATTTAGAAATCTATAATGACACAGAGTGTAATAGGCTTGTCTTCGCCCCCTACAATTCCATCTCGACGCCTCGAGGCCATGATAGCAATACGATGGTTTGCGCTGGAAAGCCAGATGGAAGCAAGGATACCTGCGAAGTCAGTATATCTCATTCTTTGGTTAAAAATCATACATCTAATAAATAAAAGTAAAATTAATATGATGCAAATCTAAATCCCATCTGTCCTAGGGTGATTCCGGCGGCCCATTGATTGTACATGATACAGGTAGCTGTATTAGGACTCAAATAGGGATAACATCCTATGGAAGGGGTTGTGCAAATCCAGACTTACCCGGAGTGTACACCAGGGTCTCCAATTACATATCCTGGATAGAAGAAGTAGCTTTTGGAAATGGAATCCAATTTTTATTTAATATATAAATAAAAATACTTATCATAACTTTTTTATTAATAATGTATGTATTATATTGATTTATTTTCAAGTTCATTTATTATCAGCCATATTTACACCAATTTTTTAATTTTTTTGTCAACTTAATGACTACTCATCACAATTACGACGTTTCGGCTCGTCGAGCCATTTTCAAGTATAAAAAAAATTTTCATTTACAATCATATATTAACTTTAACATATTTCAAATTATAAAGATTCTTATTATGTACCTAAAATATCCATCATGTACCTTTCCTTTTCACTTATGCGAATTGCAAGCGTCTACTCATAATAAAATTCATCATTATTGTCATGTTCACCTTTAATTATTTTACAACATTATTATTACTCCATTCTTTCCTATTAAATGATTTAAATAAGTTAAAATTACCTTGTTCATGAGTCACCCACATGTCATCCATCTCATTTCTATTCAGTGACTGGTTATTCTTATAGGAGTAGGGGAAGACTATTTATTATAAACTATCTATCTATTATAAAATATAATGTTGTAAAATAATTAAAGGTGGACATGGCACGAATAATAAATTTTATTATGAGTAGAAGCTTGCAATTAGCATAAGTGAAAAGGACAGGTACATGATGGGTACTTTAGGTACATAATGAGAATCTTTATAATTTGAAATATGTTAAAGTTAATATATGATTGTAAATGAAAATTTTTTTTTAGACCTGAAAATGGCTCGACGAGCCGAAACCTCGTAATTGTGATGAGTAGTCATTAAGTTGACAATTTTTTTTTAAAATTGGTGTAAATATGGCTGATAATAAATTAACTCGAAAATAAATAGTATGCACCGAAGAAGAGAAATATTGTGTATATTGATTGAGTTTCCATTGTATATATTTTGTTTTATATTTCAATGACTGCACTACATATTTTTATAGAGAATTGATATCTACAAGCCAAATATGTATTTTTTGTATTTATATTTTTAAGATTTTGTATTATTTTAAATTGAAAAAGCATCATTGAGGTTAGTTTTCTTATTTGAAATAAAACAAGCAATATCTTCTTAATCATTTCCTCTTCTACCGCTGAGCGGCGTGAGGAGACTTCTTGTAGAGCCGAATCCACAACTCTCAATCCTGAGCCAACCTCCTCCTTCAGTCAATTTCCCTTCTGTCAAAGGCCTCCTTGACACTGATCTCCCAGGTCTTCCGTGAGGTCCTCTTTCCTCCACTTTACTTTCATGATATGACCAAACCATCTCAAACGATTTTCTTTCATCACAGTTTCGGCTGATCTTACGTTCAGATTTTTCCGTATTATAGAGTTTCTTATGCGATCTCTCTTTGTTTTTCCTTCGACCCTGCGCAAGAATCGCATCTCCATGGCCTGAATCTGGCTGATGTGCTTTGTGGTGAGGGTCCATGACTCGCTGGAGTAGGTCATTATCGGGAGGAAAGTACTTTTGCATTCTTATATAACAACTATATAAAATATTTTTTATAACTATATAAAAAAATATGTAATATTTGTGCATGTTTTTATTACTAGTTAGTTAAATCGCAAACACCACGAATATGTAACCAATGTGAAATACAATCTTTTTCATTTTAATTATTTTTTTATTTTTGTTACTTTACCAGAAATATTATGATTTATATATATATATATTTTTCCTAGCCCCCAGGAATTTCTTGATTATAAAATATAATACATATATAAATGTATATATACATAAATTTTTAATTTCCTTTTATTGCCCAAGGGAATTTTAAGGTAAGAAGGCTATGCACGCTGTATGCGTTCTTTGCATCTGTGGCCAGAGGCCTCTTATTATACCACAGAGCGTGGAGGGACCGCTCTGCATATGATTTATATAAACATATATAATATATAAACATAAAAAGTGAAAAAGATTTTTAACGAGATGGAAATTTTAAAAAGAAAAAAAAAAGAAAAAAAAAATGCCAAGTGAGGTTAGTATAGCTTCCTCGCCGGTTTCATTGGCTAAAATATATCTGTATTACAAGGTTTCTATATTACAATTTTTTGCAAGAGAATAAAATCTATAAGAGAAGCCGATTTGGAAATACAGTTACCCTTTAACATTCGTAGGTTTGATATCAACGAATTTGGTTTATCAGCTAATATTAAAATGCGAAATAGTACCTTATTTCAAGATTCCATATTGATTATTCTTAACTTTGATTTTTTAAATTTGATTAAAAAACACCAATGCATACTTAATATGCAGTAGACTACTGATAATGCAAAAGGTCGTATGTGAAAATTCATTGTTTTACAAGAGAACATAAAAACTCATTATTTCTTTATGCTTTATTGGTATAATTTATATATAAGTATTGGGATATATATTTATAATTTAGTAATTCATAGATATAGTATTTTTTCGCTTGTATCCATCCATATCTTCAAATTTTAGATACTGTAAATTTATATTTGTTTCCCCATTACCCAAACAAGTCTGCAAATTCTCCAATACCTGCCCTTACCCTGGTTTTCCCGTTCTAAGTGAAACTCCTAGCTGAACACACCTGTAAGTCTCTATTTTTATTCTTCTAATTTTATTTACTTATTTATTAATTGTTTTTTTCTTTCTCCACATTCCTTTATGTCTATTATTTCATATTATAACCTTCTTCCTTTTCTTTCAATCTCTCCTGTAGATCTGTAGAAGTATATTCACATTTGCATATATATATTACACTACAACAATTGTTATCATCTGTTTACTTCAGTTTAGGATCTTGTTACTTAGCTTACTCTGTTTATATTTTAATGTACTTACTGTTTATGATTTTAATAAGCTTATTCACATTGTTTATAATTTTTTTCTAAATATTATGTAACTTCCATAATCCTCTATAGTTTTGTATCTTATCCGTTCTAACCCTGAAGAAGATCTGCAAAGTCGGGTCGAAACGTTGGCTTTTAATAAAAACTAATGAAGCTTGAATATAAAAATATGGGTGAAGTTGACACAACTTCGATATTTAAGGAGGAAATTGAGAACAAGACGAACCGGTTAAACTTCAATGGAAATAAACACAACCACAAATAAGATTTTTTTTTGTTTACAAATTCAGACTAAAAATTACTTAAATTTACTGAAAATTACACAAAATCTAATTAACGGCAGTAAGTGTCATGCCAGTAACTTTTAGATTTGAACAAACAATACAGCATAAATTAATTTTTTGAATAAAACCTAAAACTTTATAACCCCATAACAATATTGTAATAACCTAACTCAAAGTTTAGGTCAAATCGAACGCGCGGTTTTCAAACTATAGGCATATCAAATTGCTCATTTCTTGATCTAAAAGTGGAAGTATTATTTTTTGGAGTAGTAGATACAATTTGATAAAGTTTATGCCTATTTCATTTTACGTTTTCCAATCCCTAAATTTCCTTCAAATTTGAACCAAATCGAAGTTGCGGTTTTAGAGATATAGACGTATCAAGAGAAAGCAGGACAGCATACAATAATATTGATCCTACATTATTTTTTCACAACTATCTACCTTTTATCCAACTTTGAGCTAAATCAAACAAGCAGTTTCTGAAATATTGGCATATCTACAAAAATGTGTTTGCGGGTGTATAAGCGGAAGTGCTGGGTATAATTTAATAAAATAGATATGGGACTATCTAGACACCAATCAAACAATTTATGAAAATTGGATCGACTGTAGTAGGTGATATGTCCGTTACATTGATGTGACTACATACAGACAGATACCGAACCAAATTTGATCCTTGATATCTGAAACATAAAATGCGAGTGAAAATTTTCGATTCGGAGGAAAAATTTTTTTTTAACATCTCTCACGAACACAATGCTTCCCTACCTTCGGTAGTGAGAAAGCAAAATGAAATTAAAGTATATACTTTATTTACCAAAACAGAATACATGAATACATTTATATTTGCTGAATACGCAGAAAATAAGAAAATAAATTATAGGCGTACAATCTATAATCATTTATAGGTTTAATATAGAGATATACTTTCAGATCTCTCTAGGCTTATACAATATCTATTGCTCAGAGACTGGAGTTATGTGGTTTACAAAAACAGATGGGGTAACGAGGTCTTTATTGTCTACTATCAATACAATAAATAGGGTTTATGTTATTTTAATAGTTTTAATGATTTGTTAGATGTAAGATTTAAGCTATAGCTCCTTTAAAAGTGCACTTCAAAAATTTTATAACAGCCCAAAATTGCCAGAAAATAATTTCTATTCATAGTAGAGAGGTAAGTGAAAGTAGCGTGTTGCGCGCACCAGATTTTAGTCATTGGGGTTGTCATCTCTACTGTTTTCAATTTTCAATTTGGAAACCGTCTTACACTGATTACGTGGTTAATCCTTTGGTAGATCCCGGACATTGTTAGAACATCATTTATTCGACTTAAAAGTCGCATCTTATTTTCTGCGTATTCAGCAAATATAAATGTATTCATGTATTCTGTTTAGGTAAATAAAGTATATACTGTAATTTAATTTTGCTTTCTCACTACTGAAGGTAGGGAAGCATTGTATTCGGGCGAGAGGTTAAAAAATTGTTTCTGCTCAGAATCAAAAATTTTCACTCGCGTTTTACGTTTCAGACATCAAGGATCAAATTTGGTTCGGTATCTGTCTGTATGTAGTCACATCGATGTAACGGACATATCACCTACTACAGTCGATCCAATTTTCATAAATTGTTTGATTGGTGTCTAGATAGTCCCATATCTATTTTATTAAATTCTACCCAGCACTTCCGCTTATACACCCGCAAACGCATTTTTGTAGATATGCCAATATTTCAGAAACTGCTTGTTTGATTTAGCTCAAAGTTGGATAAAAGGTAGATATTTGTGAAAAAATAATGTAGAATCAACATTATTGAATTCTGTCCTGCTTTCTCTTATATATGCGCAAACGTGTTTTCTCTGATACGTCTATATCTCTAAAACCGCAAGTTCGATTTGGTTCAAATTTGAAGGAAATTTAGGGATTGGAAAACGTAAAATGAAATAGGCATCAATTTTATCAAATTCTATCTACTACTCCAAAAAATAATACTTCCACTTTTAGATGAAGAAATGTGCAATTTGATATGCCTATAGTTTGATAACGGCGCATTCGATTTGACCTAAACTTTGAGTTAGGTTATTACAATATTGTTATGGGGTTATAAAGTTTTAGGTTTTATTCAAAAAATTAATTGATACTATATTATTTGGTTGATTCTAAATGTTACTGGCATGACACTTACTGCCGTTAATTCGATTTTGTGTAATTTTCAGTTATATTTTTTTTTTATATTTCATAAAATGTTAGTGATCTATTTATATACAAAGTGTCCCCTAAGTAGAGGTTAATTTTGATAAGAATGATAAGACCTTTCCACCAAATGGGAAATTTTCAGCAGAAAAGTAGAAATTTCCAGTTTTGTGTTTTTTTTAGAGAGTCGTGTTTTTTGTTGATAGAAAGCGATAACTAAAGGAGTATTTTATTTAAGTAATTAATAATTGCTTCATTGTAAACAAGATAAAATTTACTTTAAATGAACATACGAGTTTATTATTGTTAAAACCATTTACAGAGGACTTTTAAGCTGCTAAGTTCTGTTTGAAGAAATTTTTTGCATAGTTTATAGTTTAACAGTTGTCAATTAATTATATTAACTAATTAATGCTTTAGTTATCGCTTCCTATTCATAAAAAATCATAACTTACTTTAAAAAAACACAAAACTTAAATTGCCTACTATTCCGCCGAAAATCGGACTATTGTTTATAAGAAGTTTATGATAGCTCGATAGGTCTACTATTATCTGTTTAAATATTCCCCCTACTTACGGGAAACCCTATATATTATTATCTCTGAATATTAATGACAATTTAAATAAAAATAATATTTATATATCAATTAAATCGTTACATACCTAAGTGGTTACTACCAGGCCCTAGCCCAGCCATTTAGACCTAATATTAATAAAGGATTTTATAGAAAATAAATACTTACGTCACTTTCAAAATAAATGACCATAGATTAAAACTGGATCATTGTGAATTCAAATGAAAAGATGAAGCAGTAATTATTGACAAAATTTATTAAATTACACAATACAATTTATATTGTAACGCTTCTGCCTTTCCGATTTGTTTATTTCCAAACAAACTCTATAAATGCGTATGGTATAACAGTTATTAACAAAATTAATAAATTACACACTGTAATGTTTTAATAAGTAATCAAACAAATTTTATATACAAAGGGCACTCGGAAAGTTTTGCAATACAACTTTATTTTCCACAATTTGTGAAAATAGTTCCAAAACATAAAATACACTTATTCGTCCTCTTAAACCAGTATTGAAAATAACTCAGGCTCATTTCTTCAGCGATCTGAGCACACTCAACGCCCCAAGCCCTCAAAATATTCTCATGGCTTGTTAGATGGCTCCCTTCACCCTGTTTTTCAGTCAAGCAATGGGACACCCACAGAGTACAACACTTCCTGACTTAAAGATGATTGAGCAGAACGCTGCTAACTGCTGATGCATTAACGTCCAAGGAATCCTCTTATGTTGCGATAAGTTACTCCCCTATCAGTCTCTAATCATTTACGTTTACAGCATTAACATTTTTTTCAGTTACTCATGAGGCTGGACAACCTTATCTTGGAATTCCCTCGAGTTCAAAAGTTCCTCTTTCGAACTTCTCGTATTACCTGACATTGTCTCACGGTTTGGACAATCCTCTCCACACACAGGCAGCATTTCCTCAAAACACTGATCCATACTTAATCCACATTGCAAATTTGTAGTGAGAAATCGCTTTGTATTCTGCTTTTGATCAGGATGACATCTCCGACACCTTTCACTACCAGTCTGAAAAGAAAGTACTCTAATCCAATTACTCAGGCAATTGTCTCCCCTCCTTGTATAATCTCATCACTGATATTGCAAAATTTTCCTAGTGCCCTTTGTATGCACACCATAATATAAGTATAAAAAAATTTTATTACATTACACAATAAAATTAACATTGTAACATTTCTGCCTTTTTAATTGGGCTATTTCCAAACCATGTATATATATATTGTAGTAGACATCCCCCTGTATTTACTCCTTGAGACAACATTGTGTGAGGAAATGAGAAGGAATATATAATATATAGGAATGTGAGGTTGCACTGTGAATTGTACTCAATTGTGCAGTGGACAAATTGCTCATTGGAAAATCTCACATCGTTAAACAATCGAAAAGAAGAAAAGGTCCGATCAGGTAGCTGGCAACAGATGGTGAAGAGGACGCCAAACACTTGAGGCCTGGACACAAACACAAGAAGACGTCATCTGGGAAGAGGGGATTACTCCATTGAAGACTAAGAAATCAAGCCCACAGTTATTAGATTTTAATATATTCACTTATATCAGTTGTCAAAATAAATTATTTTATTATACCGGAGTGAATAGTCCTTTTATTTAGTTGTCCTATAAGCCTCACAATTGAAGAATAAACCAGGTGAGTCAATTCATTCAAAGTGTTTACTAAGTCCCACATTTCAAATATATATTATATTCTTATTGTTTCTTCTCACTCAATGTAAACACCCTCAAAAAGTCGATATCCAGTGCCGGGGTTTTGTTTTAATATTGAGGAGTGTAAATAACCTTAAGCCCCGATATGAAGGCTATGCGCCTATTCCCGCCAAAACTAATCATTTACATTTAACTTCCTGTAGGTTATTTACAATATATATATATATATATATATATATATATATATATATATATATATATATATATATAAATGACTGATTCTCATTTTAGCAGCAAGTTTTAGTCCATTACAACTTTTACATGATTAATTAAGTCTAACTTAATTTTTGATACTTGTCTAGTAGCCGGTCAGGACGAAATCTCCCTTGTTATCTAATGTTAAAACACATAATCTCCCTTCTTATCTCGTGTAAGCTGTTATTCCATTTTTGTTTTTGCTCCATTTGTGTGATTTTCTTCAAATTATGGACCTTATTACATACATTGCGGGAATTCCCATCTTCAGAAGAAGAGGCTATCGAATATTTTCAAAACGCCGGGATAATTAAAAATGTGAAATTGTGTGAAGGTCATCAAATGAAGTTAGCCAGGAGACGAAATGGAGATGCTTTTGTACCACTTGTAGAAAACAACATTTCTATAAGGAAAGGGATGTGGTTAGAGGGGTAGAGAAGCAATCACAATTATCAGTGTTCAGGTTATAAACATTTGATCCCGACCGCATACTAGACAAGTACCGATTTTTTCCCCCACTGATATACAGCGAAGAAGTATTTCTTCATAATGAAATATTAAAAATTAAAATATTAAAGAATAGTGTGATTTTATAATTACTTAAGCTGCTAAAATGTCATTACCACGTATTGTCCCACTCTCAGTTTTCTAGTAAACAATTTTGTTTTTCTTTCAAAACCTATGTAAAATGATTGTGAAATTTATTTCCACTCCTAAAGAATAATTAAGGCATTTTGAATTATATATATTTTTAAAATTTTGTTAACAGTGAAGAATGTTTATGTATTTTCGAACATTATCCCATCACTTTGATGTCATTACCAAGAAAAAAACATAACATCAGATATATAAGTGTTGAAAAGACGGAACAATAGGAAAATTTCTTCAGTGTAGTGGTAGCCATGGAGTAAAAGGACAGCTACCAGTGAATAGACCGACCAGTTGAGGAGCCTCCCTCTAGGCATTCGTTTCTTATATGCTGAGCACGTACCTTTATTGTTGTCATTACCATCCTGTATACTATCTTGCTACCTGTTCAAATTATTCCATTTATTATAATTCAAGTTTGACTATAATTTGTAGCAAGTCAGTTGGAAAAAACTAAAATTATAATACTGGTTAAACAGCAAAGGAACATTCATGAGGCTTCCCATCAGTATGATGGACCATTATGTTTTTTTTTAGCATATGTGTACACTGTATCAAAGTCACAATAAAGACACTTTCAAAGTTCCTCACTCCTGTGATGAGCTGTTATTAGACTTATCGTCTGTACGATGGGACATAATATGTCTTTTTAAATGAATTGATGTTACTGTTTTAAAGTCGCAATGAAGACACTCAAGAGTCTTCTTGCCTCTATGACGGTTCATTATGTGCTTTTTTAAATTAGTTGCAAGTACCGTATTAAAGTCACAATGAGGACATTTCTGAGGTTTTTCATTTGCATGATGAGCCGCTATGTGCATTTTTAAATTACGAGCTACTGAAGTTTCATATTCACAATGAGGACATTTTCGAGACTTCTCAACTATATGACGGGAAAGTATATGTTTTTTTAAATCACATGCTTTTATTGTTTTATGGTCACAATGAGGACACTTATGAGGTTTCTCACCTGTATGACGGGCCATTATATGCATTTTTAAATTAGATATCAGTACTGCATTGAAGTCACAATAAGGACATTTATGAGGCCTTTTACCAGTATGATGAGCCATTGTGTGTATTTTTAAATTACGAGCTACTGAAGTTTCATATTCACAATGAGAACATTTATGCTTCTCACCTGTATGATGAGCCTTCATATGCACTTTTAAATAACTTGTATAAACTGTTTTGAAGTCACAATGAGGGCATTTAAGAGGCTTCTCACCTGTATGACGGGACATTATATGTTTTTTTACATAAGCTGAATCAATTGTTTTAAAGTCACAATAAGGGCACTTATGAGGCTTCTCACCAGTATGATGGGCCATTACGTGTCTTTTTAAATGACGAGCTTCTGTAGTTTTATATTCACAATGAGGACAGTTATGAGCCTTCTCGTCTGTATGACGGGCAATTACATGTTTTTTTAAATCACTTCTTTTTACTGTTCTATGGTCACAATAAGGGCACTTATGAGGCCTCTCACCTGAATGACGGGACATAATATGGGTTTTCAAATTACCTGCATTAACTGTTTTATAGTCACAATGAGAACATTCGTGGGTTTTCTTGCCTTTATGATAGGCTATTACATGGGATTTTAAAGAATTTGCATCTACAGTTTCAAAGACACAATAAGGACACTGATGAGAGTTCTCAGCCATTCCATATTCCTTCAAATTGATGCTTATCATTGATTCCAAACCATAATGTTCCATCTCCTTTCCATGGTTCATGGAATCATTGGCACCTGAAAGTAATAAAATTTTTTGCATTACAGATGAAAAAAATAAGTTAAGACTAGGGATATGGAAGGTTTTTAAAGAAAAAAAAATTTTTTTGTTGAATTATACCTCAAAATAACAATCTAAGAAACAAAAACCTTGAAATCTAAGTGAGTATCCAAGTGTTGGAGGGGACGAGAGGAAGGTGAGAGCATACACCAAAGGGAAGAAGGCAACTCTAATGTTTTCTATTCTCTGTGATTTGGGAAGTGGAAGACTGCCCTTTTACCTACACTAAGTGGAACTAATCTCTAAAGGGCAGCTCAAGAGAAGTCACATTATAATTCCAAATGGAAAATAGTTCAGCAGTGATCAAATTTCAGTAAAAAGCATTCTATAAAGTTATCAAAACTAATTTCTATCCATTAGTATCACCAATCCAACATAAATATATATAGATTAATAATTTATAAAATAAACCTAGTTTTCTTCTAATGATCTTTCTCTTAATTGCCCAATTGAAGATTTAAAAAAAAAAAAATGGATAACTGCACGAAATGTGCATGAACCGTTTGATGTTATAACATCAGATACTATAAAAAATTATAAGTGGATAAGGACAGTTATGATCTTGATAGAATGGGAAAATATATTAGTCAATAAGAAAGGAATACATCAAAATAAAAATGATGATTTGTGGGTAGAGTATGCAGGCGCAAATGCTCAATTTAAAATAAATATTTTTTACCTTCATCCGTGACAACAAACTCTCCTCCTTGCTTCATGTCAGAAGGTTCATCTGCAACCATATGAATCATATTTTCAACAAAAAAATAAAAATAAATTAAGAACAGGAAAAGACAATTTTTATTAGAATTGTTTTTTAGAAGAGTCAATAAACTCATTCAATTATTGATGTTTTGGTACATGTGAAAAATCCGGTCAGGACGGAAACTCCCTTCTTATCTTATCTTACATCACATAACCTCCCTCCTTATCTCGTGTAAGGTGTTGTTATCCCTCTGTTACGTGTAAGTTATTCCATTGTTTATTTTTTGTTAATTGTGTCATCTCTTGAAATGAATATTATTACACTGCGGGAATTGCCGTCTTCAGAAGAAGAAGCTATCAAATATTTTCAAAAAGTCGGGATTATTCCAAAAGTGAAATTCTGTGGACGTTATGAAATAAGGTTTGAAAGGAAGACCAAATGGAGATGCTTTCATACCAGTTGTAACAAAAATGTATCTATAAGAAAACAAATGTGGTTAAATAGTTCAAACATAACCTTTTCAACGGCTTTAAAATTTATTTATGAATGGTCTCATAATTTAACAATACAATGGGCTAAAAAGCTGCTGAAACTATCAAACAAAAGTGTGATAATGTGGAACAAATTTTTAAGAGGTTTGTGCCAATAAAATGTTATACAAGTCAACTAAAAAAATTGGAGGGCCTGGCAAAGTCGTTAAAGCAGACGAATCTTTTTAATGAAAATGAAAGTGTTTTATATGTACATATGTTGTTTATGAACGTATATGCGTTGTATGTATTAAGTGGTTATGTAGTATTTTGTATAAAATGTAAAATAAAATTGTTTTATTATTAAATTAATATAGTGTTTATAATTTTTACTTTCACTTCCTTTTTGTC